TATTTATTGTGTGGTTTTAAAGCCCAAGCTGTCAATAATAGGTAATATGGGAGCTTCAGGTCTTAATAATTTAGGTCTCGACCTTAGGTCAAAAATTTTTATAAACCTTAAATTTATAGAGAGAATTAAAAAAAAATACACTGAAAGAGGCGAATGCTAAAAGCTAAAAAAAAGAAGACATTGTATTGTTTTCATCTCACTCTTTGGGTCAAATGCAGGATTTTTTAAACCATTTGGATTTGTAATAATAAGAATAATGAGAAAGCGCTTATGTTATCAGACCCTAATCAGCAGAATCTGGAAAACTATGTTTAAACTCTTCCGTTGAAAGTTTTTGTTTGGCAGAACAAAGTAACTGTTTGTCTCAAGTACAAAAACGCTGTCGAGAAGAAAATCAAGCTGGTTTGGAATCTGCAAAGTTAGGAATTCTTCTCCTCTGGATTCCACTGTATCTGAATCATCTTACTTTTTAAATGGCTACATAATTTGGATTACAACGTTTCTGAAGTGATATAATGAAAAAAATCCCAGTGCCAGCTCGCTACCATGTTATGACACTGCTGCCCACAAGAGGTAATTATGAAAAGGAAGATAATCTGACAATCCGAAGTTTTAAGCTATGACTTTTCCCATTGATTTTAGCATAACGTGTATCTGCGTTTCTAAAAGAAGAATTTTTTTTTCAATGGAATTAAGTGTTCGATAATAATTGTTGTTTTTTTCCTCCTCTCTAGTGTTCATAATGGCTTCTGGGCTTTTGGTTTACCCTTTTGGTTTCAACTCTGCTACTGTGAAGAGATTCTGTGAGAATTCAGACATCTACTATGCAGGAGACTGCCAGATCGGCTGGGGGTACATGCTGGCAATTGTCGGGGTCATGCTGTCTGTCTTTTTACCATTCTTTGCAAAATACGCACCAAAAGAGCACATATCTCCAACTCCAATCCCTACTGTTTTATAGTATTTGATTGCTGTGTAAGAACAGAACGTTCCTGTCTACAGGCGATGGGCAGAAATTATTCTAGCACTTCCATTTAGCTGTATTGCTGAAGAGGGAAAAAGGAGATGGGGAAGAGAAGGTCAGATTCCCAACGACCGAAAGTGCGTTGAGTCTTCCGTAAGTGTGAGCAGCGAACGCTCTGGAATTGAAATCGGATCAATCAGCAGCCTTTCTACCGCGCTAAATATATAGTGGCATAATGCCTTAGACAAAAAATATCTGGTTATCCTCAAAACATCTGTCTACCTCCCAGTTTCTTTTGTGTCTCAAAATCGTAAGTCTTTTAAAAGCTTCAATTCACTTTTTATATATTATGAAATCTCAAAACTTTTATGAACCCGAGAATTTTAAAATCAGCGATGATATTTTGTTACAGTTATTTTGATTAGTGAAAAAAGCACCTAATAGTAGCCACGGCCTAAAATTAAGCTTGATGTCTAAAAAGAATTGTATACAAGAAAAAAGTTTCTTTTAATCTATATGTTTTAGTAGTACCTGCTTATTGTAAGTTGTCAGCACACTTTTTAATATTGATCTAATCTTCAAGAGTTAGAGTCATCTTCATGAAGACTTGCCTAAAATTTAGATCACTTTTTTCAGAGAGAGAGAGATCTAACTACTTCCAAAGGCTTCACGATAATTTAATAGTTTAACAGCAGGACAAAAAAAAGCTAATAATTTGGGTTTGGTATTTCATAAATCATAATTTTAGGTGGACTTTTACAAAATTATTTGAACTATTACAACTGTAGATTTTGGGGTTTGTTGTTTGGTTTTTAAGGCTGAAAAGGAAAATCTGTTTACAAAAATGTATGTGCGCGATGGCCCTTGTACGTAGTGATAATATGAGCCAGAATGATTCTAGTGTTTCCATGATTATTATTAAGAACCTGTTATTGTTTAACAAAAAAAGAAAAAAGTGAAGTGAAACGCTACTGAACACGACTAATAGGAATTGGGTGCTGTGTCAGAACTAGCAAATGGCTGTATTTCCTGGGTTTGTTGTGAAATTTGTGAAGTGTTTTCCACAAAAGCACTGAATCCATTACTGTCAGAACTAAGTGCACTTGACTGCCTTAAGCAAAAAGCAACATTGGGTTCTAATCTCACCCCACTGTTATGTTTTCATTGAAAATAAAAATTTAATTCTAATTCTATTATCATCTTTTATTTTCTATTATTTATTTAAAAAGAAATAATCACATAGATTATATTTAATTCAGAGCTCTACTTCTTAGTTTTGTATTTTGGCACAAACCAAGTGATCAAATTTATTATTCTTCACTTAGCTGAGACCAACTGATTCCTGAATTTCTTTTTTTTTTTAATTTTTTAATGGAAAGTGTACATGAAGGGACAGACAGAGACATGTTGAGGATGTGTAAGAAAATGCAAACAGATAGAACAATCACTGTGTTATTTTAATAAATGTCAAAGACTTCTGCAGTCTTGTTTACATTCCTCACCCTTCTAAACTTCAATGGAACACTGCATTGTTTTCCAAAATTATTCTGTGTCGTTACATTGTCATGCACTCTGAAAGCAAATTCTGCACATGAACATACGTTCCATTACTAATCTTTGAAAATGCAGATTCCAGTGTAGAATTAAGTGCACTGAGAGAGAGCGAGCATGCGTGTGCCATGCAGTTTTGCTCACAGTGACTAAGGAATGAAATCTTCCAAATGTTTAACGAAATAGGTCGAAGGAATGCCTCTAAAGAGAGGAGAATAAATTGCAATCACTTCTGTATAGTAATATACTTTTCAGTAACATCTTACACTTTTTCTAATCAAAGGCTGAAATTGATAATTTGCATGTAAGAGTCAGAAAAGTGAGGAAGAACAAACAACACGTGACAAGAAAACCATCACCGCGAAGCAGAGGGACAGAGATGCAGGCTTTTCTTTCCTAACCAACCTGTGCCTTTACACCAGAACCATTATACAAGACAGGATCCATATGGTTAAAAAAAACAAAAACAACTGGAAAACGTTGAGTAATGTGTATAAACTGTATTACGTAGGGTTTTTTCTGTTCTGTGTAATGTTTACGACTGTTCACTTAATGTTTCACTAGAAAAAAGTGATTTGTTAGTGTAAAGTAGAAAACCTTTTTTTGCAAAGATCTAAACTCTTACTGAAAGTCCAATTATTTGGGAGTTTTATTAACAGCCATAACGTACCTAGCAGACACCAGTGACCTATTCCTGTCGTTCCTTATTAACGGAACTTCCACACGTGCAGAACTGGAACCATCAGCACCGCAACATTTGTGTGATGATGACACACACAGGTGCTTGCAGGTCTGGTCCCCCAGTTCAAGCTTCCTTTGTGGTTTTAAATTCCTGTTACAATGGAGTCGGACCATTTACACCACCACTGTACCAAACCCTTTACTTCTTAACACTCAGCTGCTTCTGTTGTGAACACTGTCAAGCTCTGCGTCCTGTAATATCCTGCACCTTTTATGAGTTAAGCTTCTATTTGGACCTTTCTTTAATTTTTATAATGTATAAAAGAAATCAAATATATGTGTATGACGTCTACAGCTGGATAGATGAAACTGTCCTTGCAACATCCACTCTCAGAACCAGCTAAGCACAGGAGGTAGAGATGCCAACGCAAGTGATTCTTACAACAGTTAGTAAAGCATACACTTTAGATCCTCAACTGGAACATGAAGGGATGTGCTAACACTGACAGATCACTTTTTTGGATAAAGACTGTCTGCGCGTTAAGTTGTGTAAAAGAGTTTTCTTGTTACAAGTCAAACGATTTACTGGACCAGGTTCAAGTTTTATTCTAAATATATTATTTTTTAAGTGTAACTAAAAGCTGTATTTTCCATTATGTGTTTCTGCGTTGACTAGCTGGCTCCTTTTTAGAATATTAACTGTTTTCTGTATTTGACTTGTTGGATACAATATTTCAATTATTTTAAATGTGAAATTTCCAATTGCCAACCCTGTATAATAAAATTTAAAAAAAAAAATCACGTTGTTCACTGTTTTCTTGACATCTCTTTTGTTTTACAATTCCCAACAGATTTGGCACAAAGCTATTGAAGTAGGGGAACTAGCTAAGGGCAAAAGGAAATAGAAACAACAGGAATAATCTATGAAAATTAATGTTTGAAGGCAAACACATAAACATCTATGTGGTCCTTCCCTCATGAAAGATGTTTCTATGGCAAAGGCCAGGAAGTTCTGTGTTCAAATAATTATTTCTCTCCAACTTCCTCTGTGTCTTCCTACAATTTCAGGGTCTGTTGCTATTTTATACCGGTGTTATACTGATTATTTATTTAAAAAAAACCCCATGAATCAGATAACATATCAACGGGAACCATATGAATACCTAATATATACAGCTGCATCCTGTGAAATCTTCCTGTAGTATTTATTATGTACATTTCGGAAAAGCTTTTGCACGTGTTCTGGCAATCCAGCAAAGGAAAAGGAACCTGTTAGTTGGAATTGAAGTAGAATAAAGACTACCTTCTTACTTTCTACCAAAGAGCAGTTTTATTGCAGTATGTAGAGCCAGAGGAAACTTTGTTCGTGTTTGTTCGCTATTAAACTTTGACCAAATACTGCTCAAAAGTATATAGTCAACATTTTGAAATAGATATTGAAGGAACTTCTAGAAATTGAAGAACATGAAAATCAATGGCAATCTGAATTAGTATTGACAGTCTTTTTCTATGGCACTTGCACTACTGCAAAACTTAAAACATTTTCATTTAGAATTTCTCCAGTAAAATCTAATCTACTATGTAAGAAAACACTGTTGTTGCACATAGAACTAGGAAAGATAAGCTATGGAAAGTAACAGTGGGAACAAAACATTGGTACTACTATTTGCTGGAATTCACAGCATAGTGAGAGTTTCGATTATTTAATCAGATTTTCAGTACTAATTTTGGTAAATGCTTTAGGATGTCCAGCCTCTATGGGTAATGATGACTGAAAATCCGTTTTGGACAATCATTCTGACTTTTAAATTTCATTAATTGATTTTACATATGCTGTCATCGCAGCATCTGAAATTTTAACAAATTCCTGGAAAGTGGCTTGTTCTTGAATAGTTGCTGGTCTTACAGAGACACACTTGAAAACGTTCTTTTTTGTGTCGTAGTTTCCCATGCACCTGTGCACTTGACCTCTAATTAGTCTTGGAAGCTGCCGGTCCTTCATCAAAAGTGTAATAAACAAATAAAAAAATTGTATCACCTTTCTAACATAAAAGCTTTCAAAATGTCCAGTTGTGAGATACTGGTGGATATTTCTGAAGACTACATCAAATGCAGAAGGAATTTACATCCGCTTTTTTGCTATTATCAACTACTTAGAAGCTGAACTGAAAGTCTCACCTTTTTTGCTGGACCAGAAATCTGAAGATGCCTAAATAGTGACTGGCTCTAGACCAGTCTGGGAACAATATGGTATAAGGATCCAGCTTTCCTTTCACACAGTAATTTTCCGGTTTATCAGAACAACATATTATTAGTTTCATAAAAAGGATTATAGCTAGTGGTGTCTGTGTTACGCAGGGACACAGGAATACTTACAATTTCATAAAATACACAAGGCAGACTCTCCTTTCCATCTCTCAGAAGAAAATTCTTTGCCCCATGTGCTCCAGTTGTGACTGCAGAATCAAGTGTGCCTATACCATTTAGCAAAAAATAAACCATGATGTAAACATCACAGCAGTACTAAGTATGACATACAAAGACATCATGACAACATTCATCACTCAAAAGCACTAAGATACATCAAGTCAGCATCAGTCTTCTGTGAGCACCTGCGCTGACAGCACTGGAAGTTCCAGTACAAATTATGGGCTTTACATGGTCTTTGAATAGCAAAATTGTGTATGACATCTCTCTACGCTGAATGACCAAATGTGGTTTTCACAACCGCCACTGCAAACAGGATATTCCCTTGTTAAGCAGAGCACAACACAATTCTCCAAGTTTTATTGACCTTCACATGCAAGTCAACTTTAAATACTTGCAACCGTGTCAAAAGAATAGTTTTCTGAATGCCATTACATGGTATATTCTTATTCACTTTGATTTAAAGTTTAGTCACTTCAGTCTTTTGTCACGTTCGTTTCTCAGATAACGTCCATTAAAACGCAAAGCAAAACACACCAAAAGTCATATATGTTTAGAAGTACTCCAGACTTCAATTTATTCCCAGATTAATTATATCAAAAATGACTATAAAACTGTACCTCTCGACAAAAGGTTCCTTGTTAAAAGGAAAATTTATTGTAACACATTCTAAAAACAAGGAAAGAAAAGAAACAGGATATAAAGAGCTTAAATGTTGGAAGACAACTGTAGTATTAATTTTGTACCTCCTTTAGTTATATTTGATAGCTGAATGGATCTCCCAGCAGGAAAATTACATGGTGCTCATGCTGGTATTTTGTAGGTTTAAGTATTATTTCAGCTGTTGTTCCTACAGTGAATAATATTTTTTCTTGGCTGTGGTCCTACCATAACTGTCAGTTACAGCACAATCTAGCATGCTTACCTAAAACTTCAAATAATAATGGAGTTTTATCAGCATATTTACTCCAGTGCCTCATACTTTCAATGACTGCAGATATGATGCGCAAAGAATTCTTTTCCTCATTTATGTTCCCAGCTTTAGTACTGGGAGCCTTGTCTTCTGCCCTGCAGTACAACATAAGACATAGTTCAGTATCAAAATATCTGTTCTGAGTACTTGCATATGTAATTAAAGTATACAAAAGCAATCTATGTACCGTTGGTTTGGCTTTAAAAACAGATGTTAAATATTCTGACTCAAAGCACTTGAGCACACACTGAAATTTATCCATATTCAGAGCAGTTATCACACCTGTGCTTAAATCCAGCTGAATTCAATAGGCCTTAAAATCATGCTTGATTATCATCCTGTCCTGTGTAAGAAATCTTTCCTGATCTAAGATTCACACCTTTTCCATAACTCTAAAATAAAATAAGCAGTTTCTTCTGAGAGTGGTATTTCCAAATTCTTCTACCACCATCACTGAAGAAATAATTTTACAACAAACTCTAGCGCTGACCTTATTACTTCTAACAACCTTCATTTTATAAAGGCGGCTCAGAAATTCCTTCCAGCTCCATTCCATTTTGCCTTTGAAGGCACTTGTCTGAAACAATCACTCTCCTTTTGCCATTGGAAAGAAATAGGAGGAAGGGAAGAGGGAAAAAGGACAATTATAACATTGCTGGAAGTTTTCCTGCCAGCTCTAGGCATCTGAATTTGTGAGCTTTTCCTTGGTTTATAAAAGCAAAGAGTTCACAATTATATTCAGTTTTGATTAAATGTTTTGTTATACAATTGCCCTAACGTACACTGATAGAAACTTATTTATGTCCAATAATAAATGTGGTTTGAAAGTGGGTAAAACTTCAAGGAAAGGGGAATCTCAAAAAATTACGTCTAAGACCAGAAAAATTCAATCAGCTTTTATGGAAAGACTGAATTTTAGGCCTGATAATAAGGCTAGATATTAGGTCTAATTAATAGCCTCATTAGGGACACTGGAAAGATACTTAATTTCAGTGGGTTTTGGCTCATAAGCACAATGTAATTATTTAGGACTGCAGTGATGACCTAAGAATTAAAAAGTTCTCTCTGAATGCTACAGGAATATGGAAAAATGTAAAATATATTTTCACATGAGAATGATTTTGTTTAAAGAAGGATAATAAAAGTTAAATACTCCACCAACCTGCAGGCATACAAGATTTTCCCAGCATTTTCTGAATTAGGCTTTGGTGCATTTGGTGGTTTCGTAAAGGAAGGAGCCATCTGATGTTCTGTTTGGCTTTCAAAAATAAGTTTAAACTATCAGTGGCATAGTAGTAGCTTTATTGTAAGACAGACAGATGCATGTGTCATAGTTTGTGAAACTTGTATTATAATAATACAATAGAATAATGTATAATATTTGTACCCAAATAAAAATCAGTAAGCAGAAAGTGGTCTGCTTTTACGTACCCACTGTTTGCTGCTTTCTGTAGTTGAGCTTCTGCTGGGTTCGCAGTTCCCCGGCCTAATTTCCAAAAGACAAAGGGTTGAATAAGGATATAGATGGAAAAGATTGAAAGGTAGTAGGTCTTAGGGCTCCTACTCTTTATCTGCTTAATGTTCCACAAATAATGTACAGGAAGGAGAGGGGGAAAAAAGGAGAAAAAAAAAAAAAGGAATGTGATCCTTTGATATCTGTAATTATAAAGCAGCTTCTAACAAGTAGGTTGCTTTTCTAGGCAAAGGTTAAGTTACAAACACTAGACTTTTATTTCTTATTAGCACAGATTCTTCTATTTTACTATAAGCAAACTTTTTTACTTTATTGTAAGTCAGACACAATGAAAGTAAAAGCAGAATTCTGTATCATTCTTTCCAAGCAGAATTTGAAGAACAGAAGCTCTCTTCTGAATTACAAGACAGGCATCTTATAAATGTTTCTTCTTGTAACACAGGACTTGAATGTTGATTGAAATCAACTGAAAACAAAAGGTCAGAGTTTCAAGAGACTCTATTTAAATGCCAGTGCTACTTAATTCTCTAACACACAAAGAGTCCAACTCCCTCTAGGCACAAAGTATAAAAAGCTCAATTGTACAGAGGAGAAAGAAATTTCCTGGAGGACATTTTTACATAATGAACTTTTCAGAAATAAACATAAAGGATGCATATAGATCTTGATAAATACAATGTCTAATTTACTAAATACAGTCATAAAGTTAAAGTTTATTGGGGTTTAGAGTGATTAAAAGATAAAATATATCTTATTTACCCAATGATGTGGGAGAAAAGTTGCAAGTGCGAGTCTCAGAACTGGTACCTGGCTCATTTTCAGGTGGATTTGAAGTGAGAGGCTGCCTATTTCTTTTCTTCTGATTGAACAGAGGTACAGGCAGACAACCTAAAGTTAAAATTGAAATAATAATACTATACCAATAGCAAAAGGATACACAATCTACACTTAAAATAATGTAAATAAAGTTACTTAACAATTCTTTTACAGCACCCATAGGAATGACATTTCAAAAATACGTAACAGACCAGCCATTGCCTCACAGAATTTGTATTCCGAGCTCTCTGTCCTGCAAATAATCCCGTGAATGAAACATTTCCCTCAGTGACCAGTCACCTGACTCCATTCAGGGTCTAAGATCCTGCAAAAACACTGTGTGTTTATCCACACACATAAACATAACGAGGTATGAACTGTAGCATAGAAGAATGGATGGTACCTGCCGTGCTGCGAGTGGAAGTGTCAGCTAGACTCCTTTTCATTTCTTTGCTGTATCTCAACAGGCAATACTGTATTGATTGCTTGGAATTTGCTGTATGGAAGTTAGATAAGCAGGCAAAGTAAACTCATTCATGTTGTAAACACATTCAAAATTTATGTGATTTTATGTCAGTTTCACTTAACTCTGTATACGCAGTGACACGCATCGCTTCAGACACAAGGTTAAAATGCTTGAGCGAATGTACTGAATTTAGAAGATCCATGGGTACACAAATAACACACAATTGCTCTTTGCAGATTAAAGGCCCAAACTGTTACATTTTTGAAGTACAAGTTGTATTCTCTGCTTTTTTAAAGTGCTATAAAAATACTGAATTAACGTCTGAATTTAAAAGTATGTATTCAAATACAATGATTATTTTTTAATTCCTCACAATAGAATACTAATAGAAAATGCATACTTACATATTGCTGCAAAATGCCATGGCAAGGTTCATGGCTCTGAGTAAAAAACTGATTTAACTATTGTTAAAAGACAGTGTCACACTTCAGAAAAATAAACTTATTTTCTGTCCATTATGGATTTAAACTGTTATTATGTCATTTTCTGTACGCAATGGATTTAAACTGAAAGAGGGCAGATTTAGGTTAGATATAAGAAAGAAATTCTTTACATTGAGGGTGGTGAGGCACTGGCACAGGTTGCCCAGAGAAGTTGTGGATGCCCCATCCTTGGAGGTGTTCAAGGCCAGGTTGGATGGGGCTTTGGGCAACCTGGTGTAGTGGAGGATTTCCCTGCCCATGGCAGGGGGGGTGGAACTAGATGATCTTTGAGGTCCCTTCCAACCCAAACCATTCTATGATTCTATAGTTCTATGGTACAGACCTAAAACCTTTAGCCAATTTCCTTATATACAAAATACTTCATACACCAAAAAAACATTATTATCAGCCAAATATTATGAGCAGAAAAAGTCTATATTAGCATATTGGGTACAGATAGTTTGCTGTATTTGCTTTCTGATTAATCTCCTTCTATGGTAAATGTCTGTATATTACTGCACACATTAAGGATACTACCCAGACCGTTGTACAGCATTAGTTGCTGCTCTGTCAAAGTTAGTTACTGGTGCATATCGCTTTTAGTGGCATGTGAACAATACCAGCTTCTTGTGCATATAAACGATGTAAGACATTACCTCTGCATCGAATTTGATCTGGCAGTTAACCACACGCAGCTGTTAAACACATTGGTAAGAATTAAGCATGAGCACCTACCACAGCAAGGCTAATCGATCATTTTACTCTCTATTTCTGAGAGATACCTCAGTTACCTCTGTGACAATATTAGAGCGGCTTCTAGCCATTGCTGTTACACCATTTAACTGTACTGCCAGCACTACTGAGCCTGACAGCCACCAGCGACATGCCTGGAACATAAAACCCCATAAACTGGACATTTCAATTTAGGAAGCCACTTCTGGCGTGGCACGGGATTTCGGACAGTCTTATTTTGCTTTCTGCCCTCTCTCGAATATAAGGAACCAAAACCCGAGGTAAAGCTACAGAAAAACAGTTAAGCGAAGGATGGAAAAGAGGAAATACCAGGTGAGCCACCACAGCGCCTCACACAGCAGCCGCGCGTGACGGCAGCCCCTCGCCAGAGCGCGGAGGACGCCGCTGAGGTGAAGCCCGCCAAAAACAACGGGCCCACGGCCGGCGCGCTCGCGCCTGCGTGCGCGAGTCTCAGGGCGGGAAGGGGCGCGCCGCGCCCTCCGCAGGGCCCCGGGCGGGAGCTGAGTCTGCGCAAATACGAGAACACGAACATGAGAATCAATAAAAATGTTTCCATTCTTCACGCTGTTTTTCTCTTCAACCCCTAATCTGAGTTTTACACGCTGCTGTTCTCAGCCATGTGCGTTCTGGCTGGATCGTGTGTGAAATTTCAGCACTAGGCGGGACTGAAGCCTGTCCTTTGTTTGTAATCGCTTTTCTTCAGCCTTGGGAGGCTTTGATGAGCCGCGCTGCGCTTCTTTTTTATACCTTTGTGGCTTTAACAGCTAGACTTCACCTGCGTTTTATTGTTGCGTATGTTTTTCAGCTCATGGCACGCGTCCTAAGCTTTCAGATGTGCTAACAGGTGTTTCTGTGTAATACATAAAGCCAATCTGAATTCTTAATAAACTAAACATGATCCTACAGAATTTTTCAAAGTGTAAGCATTGGTGAAGCACGGGAATAAGGGGTCGATCCTGGTGGTTAATTCAGAAGAGTGAAAGCTCTTCGAGTGTCTGCATTTGTGCCACAAATTTGCGGGTGCTTATGTCCTGGGAGACCAGGAGTTAAAAGTTGTTTGGAAGTTAATGTGCTCTAAGGGTATAAAAGAAGTCTCCGTGGCTTTAGTTCCTAAACTCATGTTTGGAAATGCGCTGTATCTGTCCTAAAAAAGCTCTTCTTAGGGGACAAACTTCTTGCATGTTAAATGAGGTAAGTGCACAAACGATCTCTGTGTTTCACTCAGCCTTTTGCAAGGAATTACACCCGTTACAGTACCACCAGCTGGAAAAAACTATATATACTGGCATTGCGTGTTTGCATTTTGCTGCTTGCGCGTTAAACTGCTGTGGTGTTTAAATTCAGCAAACCGAGATCCAGAGCATGAGTCATTTTTTCAGGCGGGGTGTAAATAGCCATTTTGGCACCACTGCTGAAGAGACCGGGGTCAAAGGACAGTACAGACTGTCCAGTGCTGTGAAACGCAGCTTTGCTGCTTTGTTTAATAAATTACTTACTATGATTAAATATCTGACAGCTCCTAAGTGCAGCAGTAATACAAGTGAGTGTTTAAGTAAAC